TTTTCTTGACCTATAACAAAACATTGTTTAACAATTTGGAAATTTTATGAGAAATTCAAATTTAGTTAAAAAAATATTTAGAAATTCATAAACAAACCTTCCCTATCCAACAAAAACTGTACCACGTCTTTTCGATATTTGCTTAGTTCTTCTAGTGAAGAAGACTGCACCAAATCTTCCTCATTTATAAAAATCTCAGCAAACTACAATTTTTTTTAAACTTGTATATCTTTTCCAAAAGTTAAAAAAAAAGGTGTCAATTTTTATTTTACTATAACTTTACTAAATTTACCTTAATGCAGAAGACTCCACATAATATGTTGTCATCTTGCAATGCATGTGGCAATTTTAATACTTTATATTTTTCCGAAACTCCGTACCTCTGTTTCAAGTAGCTACATGTTTTTTTTTTATAAGCATATGAAATTTTTGAAACAGGCTCGGGTATGCTTAAGCAAAAAGTTAAAAGAGGCTTAAAAATATGCTTAAACTTAAGCTTATTTCTAATAAAATATGCTTATTTCAATACTTTCTAAAAGTGCGCGCGTTATTAAAGGTTATAAGAAAAATAAAAAGTTGACTTTTGTACAGTATAATAAAAAATATATACTATATACAAATGTTATCAATGAAATCAAAGATATGAACTTCGCATTCCTTCTCGTCCGGACCCATAAAGGTGTCATCTGGAAGAATTTCGTTGACATCTTCATTTATAGCACCATCTACCTCCACCGGTTGAATATCACTTTGATTTCCCTTGGGTTGATCACTCCCAGGATCAATTATGGATGGTGGGGGCACTTTATAACTATCAAGGCCCTCTGGTTTAACAAGCGAATCTTCTGAGCCATCAGAAGTCATTAAACACCCAGTCATCGTCCAGCATTTCTTCCTTTGCTTGTCATACTTAGAAGTGTTTAAAGCTTTCCATGCTTCCCCTGCCCAATGTGTAATCAAAATTCGTCTCTCTTTTGCAGTGTAGGGCATATCATTACTGAACCATCTATCAGAATAATTATCTCTATCAAGCCATTTTTGATGTTCAATGGCAATAAGCCTTTTCAGAGTTGCAGCATATCCGGCATCAACTGGTTGCCAAAGGTCAGTGGCACTTGGTAGACCGTACCAGAGAAGTCCTTTAGCAGCAGCCACGGCATCTTTAAAATCCTTCTGCATCTGTTCCTTCAAATTGTCCAGCAAAAGAACAAGTTTAGCTTTTGCTCTCTGACAAATGGAAGGAGTGTTTTATCACACCAGTGCTTACAAACGTTTTGGTCTAACCAAGCATTTTGTTGGAAATAAACGTGAATATCTTTGTGCCATGCTAACTTTTCGTCTTTTGAAATGCGTTTTCCTTGACCTCTAAAAATGAGGGCTAGCTTTGGTTGCTCTCCTTCTGGCCGAAACATAACTTGAAGGGAACATTGCCTTTTTTCCAATCCTGAGCCCGGTTGTGAGATCCATATATTATGTGTTGCACCTTGACCCTTGGGAACATACTCGTAAGTTTTCTTACCATGAACAACAAAGGGAAGTGGGCTCTGGTCAACGTTGAGCCTTTGTCCAGGTTGGTACCGTCCCCATTTTTTGTCATAGCTGGGATTTTTAGAACCTGTTCTTTTTTCTGTATGTCGCATGCCGTTTCTGTAATAATGGTTCCATTTCTTTCTTATGTTTCCTTTTGTTTCTTTTTTCGATCTCATTTTTAAATCCTTTTTTTGTAAAAATCAAACTATAACATGATGTTTTATTATCACGTTTGGATCAATGTTTAATTGTATATTTCTAGCTTTACTCCAAAGCCAGGAAAAGTTAACAATTTGACCTTTTGATCTGGCTTGTAAAAATTCTTTGTAAAGAATTTCGTATAGTTCAAGATATTTTGTGGAACGTCTTCCCTTCAGAAACAATTTGCGATAGGATGATTCGGCATCTTTAATAATAGTTTCTTTTTTTTTCAGCCGTCGCGAAATCTGACTTTGCGTTACACCAAACGACTCTGCTATGGTATCTTGATTTGCCTCATAACCATAGGCGTTAATTGCCTCTGCTTTAAAGGCGGAAGTGTATTGGTGGCGTTTCTTACCAGCTAATTTGCTAGCCTCTTCACTTTTTTTTATGACACTAACAACTTTGTTGACAATGTTATCAAGTACATCTACAACTGCTAGAGTGACAAGTTCTTTGTTACTTTGAAGAACTTGTGATTGTGAATGTTTACAATCTTGTTTGCTAATACCGTGCATAACTTTAACATGAAAAGCTAGTCCTTGTTGGCTTTTGAATAACTTTTTGCAATGTTCGCATTCAACACTAGTTTCGACAACTTCTAATGGCAATCGGATTGCACTCATTTCTCCTCTGTGCATAACATTTTTTGTGAAACCAAACGCTGCCAATGTAGGCTGCTTTCTCTTTATCTTCTTTGACATTTTTATTACTATTTTTAACAGTATCTGAAAATAAGACTTAGAAATAAAATAAACATTTTGAATATGGTATTAAATAAACTACACATTAAGAGCGAGAAAGAAAAAAAAGAGAGAGAGAAAGAAAAAAAAAGAGAGAGAAAGAAAAAAATGAGAGAGAGAAAGAAAAAAAAGAGAGAGAAAGAAAAAAAAAACGCCCCAATAATCAAATATATGTTTGATTCGAACTTTAATTTCAATTATAAATAAATTATAACAACAAAAATACCCTTGACTTTTTTTAACGCTTCGTGCGCTTTCTCATCCGCAGTTTGGTCTACAATTCAAATACAAGGAACTAATTTCATTAAAACCGTTACATCAAAAGAGTAAAAAAATAATTCCCTAAAAAGTTTTACCTTTTAATAATGTGTTTTCAATAAATTTTTTCACGTGCAGTCTTTTGTGCGATCCAGGCAGAAGAACTCCATTCACATCCGTGAGACGAAAGTTGCCACATGGTGTGATACTTGATACATTATAAGGGCCTTTAAATTGTGCCTTGAACGCAGCACCTTTTGATCGGCGACCTCTTATATCCAATAGCAAAACCTTATCACCTTCAGCGATTATTGAGTGTGTTCCTTTTAATATTTTCAATAAGTTCTTTTCATAACAAAGTTTTTGTTTTGTTTGAGCATGTTGAATGTTCTAAAATGGTACAACAAGGAAAGATTATTTGTACTACGATGTTAAAGTCGCTTATGCTATTTATGTAATGTCATTGATGATTGTAAGTTAAATTGAAATTATTTTTAATTGGAAACCGTCAAATACAGAGCTAGGAATAAATAGCGCTAATAATGGATCGTGTATCAGTGGAGCCCTATTTTTTCGTAGTACTGTATTTGACGGCTTTAAACGGGTCTGTATCTAGCGAGTTTCGGGTCCAACAAATGAGACCCGGACCGATTACCAGCCGTACGTATGAACTACTTATAATAAAACTAATTGAATAAATTAGTTTTATCTTTACAAACCTTGGTAACCAAGTCTGCGAGACTCTGAATGTGCTTTTTATTGATTTACATTTCACTTTGGATTTCCTCCGTCGTCGCTGCTTCAAAGTTATGGTCGTTCTAAATCACAAAAGTTATGAATACCTTACTGTGCGTCAGGGTTATTAATAAAATTATAAATAAAATATATATATAAAATAAAATAGAAATTGTTAATAAAAACACGATATGCGGATATTATAAATAACGCATTCACTACTTCAAATTGGCAATCGGCCTCCAAACTTAATTTCAAAAGGTGAAACTTTAGTTGACGTTTGTCTCTCGACTCGCAAAGGATATACATATAATTGCAATCCTTGCAATCGCAAAAATGACATTCTTTATGTTATTTATAGGTAATCCTAAATGTTTTGAAACCTTTTTGGACCTACACAAGTTGCCCAGAGGATTGCTACCACCCTATAGAGGGAACAGTTACATATGCTTTTTCACACATGTGGTATTTTGATCCATCATTACGACATATTAAAAATATTTTGGCCGTGGATAGAGTGCCGAAAGTCGGCACTCTAACGAAATATGCTTATAGTGCCGGAAGCCCGTTTATTAATTAAAAAATATCACGTGCCAAAACAAATTCCGATATCATATATTTTAAATTCCAATCATTAGAAAAATATTTGAACTATTGGATAATATTGGAAAAATTTCATTTCATTTATACTTTGAAGATGTCAACTAGTTTTGCATGCAAAGATATTTTTTTATCATTTGAAGATTTAAAATCTACTATTAAGAAATATGAAGATTCTCATTTTGTGCAGTTGTGGATTCGTGACGCAAAAACAATTGAAGCAGCTCGAAAAACCATTCCAAGAAAAGCTGCTTCAATGGCTCCACAGATAAAGTATTATTATATAAAGTACTGTTGTATACATGGCGGAAAAAAGTTTACAAATAAAGGCAATGGAAAACGTCAAACTTCGTTAGTAGTTGTTTTATTTTAATAATTTATTATCATTAATGAAAAGTTTATAATAAAATAAGATTTAAAAAATAAATTGTTAATAACTTATTTGTGCATAGGAAATAAACCATGTTCTAACACAAATGTTTTATTTCATCAAAAGTTAGAATATTTATTTCATGAAAAAATAACTAATTTTAAACATGCTTATTATAGGACTTATAAAAAAGAGTGTCCATTCTTCTTAAGTTTTAAAGCATCAGAAGATGGACAAACATTAATCTTGCAAGATTTAAACAATGAACATAATCATGAAGTATCTGAGGTAAGTTATAAGTACTTATAAATTTTTTTTTGATAAAGACCATTTATTTCAGGTTCCTTATAGAGTGGTTGAAAAAGGGAAAATAATTAAAACTACACCATATATTTAAAGTATTTGTAAACATTGTTAATATTTATTATCAAAAAGAAAAATCTGAAACATTGTGTTAAAATTAGGAAAATATGTTCCATTTTCTCATGGCATACCTGTTGTTGATTTTATGATACAATCTCCTGAAAAATGTGAATTGAATCTTGAAATGTCCTGGAGTTTCA